AATGGTAACTCACTCTTACTTAAGATAAAGATAAAGATAAGATTAGATAAAGATAAGGGATAAGATAAGGATAAGGTAGGCTGGCGGCGAGTTGGCTTGACGTGTCCAGATAAGGGTGGGCCCACCCCTATGAGCTGTTGTGTGGGCCCTGCTCTGCTGCTGCTGCCGGGTGCGTGCGCGTGGCTCATGGTGCCGCTGCTGTGCGGTGCCGGGCGTGTGCGCGGTGCGTGCTGTCGTGCAGTGTGTGCTGCTGCCTGGCGGTGCGTGCTGCGCGCCATGGTGCCGCTGCCGTGCGGTGCCGGGTGGGTGTGCGGTGCGTGCCGCCGTGCGGTGCGTGCAGTGCGCACTGCTGCCTGGCGGTGCCTGCTGCTGTGTGGCCTGCCGTGCGTGCTGCTGCCTATGACTGCTCTGCAGTGCGCTGCCGGATGGTGTGCCCATAACAGGTTTGGAGCTCTAAGTTTAGAAGACCCCTGCTTGATCAGGAGTTGGAGGAATGTGTTCTTTTGCTGGACAAATTAAAACAAACTAGAATCTCTACAACCAGTGAAGATGGTCTGTGGTGGAAGGAATGCAGAAATGGAAAATTTACAGTGAAATCATTTTATATGGCTCTCATCAAGGATATTGTAATCAATGATCAAATAAGTGGAATTTGGGGAAATCCAGTACCCCTGAGAATTGAAGCTATTGCTATATGTGCAAGTCAGATGAGGTAACTGTTTTTCATCTGTTCTTTTCCTGCCAGTTAGAAAATTTCATCTGGAGATTCTACTCCTTCCTCTTTGGGATTCCTATATTCCAGCCATTAACATCAGCAGAGATTTTCTCTACCTGGCCAAAGTTCAGAGGAAGTATGAGAGCTAAAATTGTCTGGAGCTGCATTCCCTTTGCAGTTTGCTGGTGGGAAAGGAATAGGAGGCTCTTCGAAGGAAAGGAAAGAAGTATTGAAGTGATTGTGTCCTCGGTTGGCAAACTCATCACAAGCTGGGTCATCTCTCTTCAAGAATTTGAGCAAATCAGTCCTTCAGACTTTGCTGAGAATTTTTTTTTCGACATCCTTGAGATTCAAACTTGTAATTTTTTTTGATAAGTAAATAGCAAAAGTTTTATTAAAAAAAAGAAATTACAGATCAGGGTGATAAGACAGCACCCGAAAACAAAGAAAACAAAAGAGCCTTCAATCAAACTAGATAACAGGCTATGCATTACATATTTGATATTCCAGAATCTCTCCTAATCCACTCCCAAAATCCTCCTTTTTTTGTTGACTGAATTCAGGAAGAATCAACACCCATTCTACCACTGTTCTGCCCACAGCCGCAACCATCTTCTCCATGCTACAAGCCTTGTCTTCAAAAGTCCTGTTCCTTTCCTTCCATATGTTCCAGCATATTGCAAATGGGATACAACTCCATAGTAACCTCACCTTCTTTCACCCAGATAGCCTGGCCATGTTGAAAAAATCTCTGCTATTGTGGTTGGATGAAATCCAGAGACCCTAAACATGGAAGTAAACACATTCCACAGGAATCTTGAAAAATTGCATGAAACGAATAGGTGAAACGTGTTCTCCTCATGTTTGCATTTTATGCTTCAGTGGAGGTGAATCAGCATATCACATTTTTCTTCACTGCAAGTTCACCCAAAAGATTTGGTTCCAATTCTTGAAAATGGCAGGTTACAGCTGGGTTATACCAGAGCACATTATGGACTTTCTGCATCAATGGCAAGGAACAGATTTAATTTAAAGGGTGTAAAGTTTATTGGCAACCAGTGCTATATGCAGTGTTGTGGGGAGTTTGGGATGAAAGAAACAAAAGCCTCTTTGACAACAAATTCAGGCCCCTTGAGGAGTTAATTCAGACATTACTTACCTTTGCAACCTCTGGATGGTGAACTCAGATCTGTTCAAAGGACTCTTAGTCAATGATCTCCATAGAGATGCTTACCCCTTTCTATTTCTCCCTCACCTCCATCAAACATCCTTGAGACATCCCAAACCCATCTATGAAGGAGTGATGACCCTAAACTTCGATGGAAGTGCCTTAGGTAACTCTGGCTTAGTTGGTATTGGAGGCACAGTAAGGGATGAAAGGGGCAACATTTGTTGGACTTTCAGCGGTCCAATTGGTTTGGCTGATTCCACAAAGGCTGAAGTGATGGCTGCTCTCACAAGAATCAGAATAATAAAAAGTTTGGGAATCCAGAATTTAATCATTGCAGGTGATTCAGCAAATACTATAAAATGGTTAAGAGACAAAGAGGGGGGATCTTGGAGATTGAGTCACTATTTGGCAGAGGCTAGGGACTCTTTGGACTGTTTAAATGTAAAATTAGTTTGGATTCCTAGGGAACACAATCATACAGCAGATGGCTTAGCCAAATGTGGTGTGTATTTGGAGCATTTGTATTTTTTTTTATCAATAACAGTAATATTTGGAGCATTTGTATAGCGGCAAGCTTCCTCCTTTGTAATTTGTAGGGGTTCTTCCCCTGCTTTGTGCATCTTCTCATGTACCTCTTCTTCCTTTAATGAATCCTGGTTAAATTTTCTCAAAAAAAAAAAAAAAACGTGTTCCCTTCCTGCTCCTCACAAAGGCAGCATCTGGAAACCAAGTTAAAGCCTCTGGATTTCAAGTGATCGGCAGTCAAAATGCTGTCCATTGCTATCAGCCAAGCCAGAGCCTCCACTCTTGGAGGAACTGGGTTTCCCCAGATGCCCTTAATGTGATTCACATCTGAGACGGATCTGCTGAGAGCCAGATAACACGACTTTACTGTGAACTTGCCATTCTTGCACTCTTTCCCCCAAAGCTTGTCTCTGAGTTGAATTGTAGGTTTTCCACCCTCCAGTTTCTCTAAGAGAGAAATGCACTCTTCAACTTTTCTGTTCAATAAAGGCCTCTTGAATTTTGGGTTCCTCGTTTCATAGCAGCCACTGATAGTGACTTCAGCCTCTGTTAATCTATACAGTCTTGGATACAGGTCACAGAGCCTTCCCATCCCACACCACTCATCCTCCCAAAACCTGATTTAGATCCATCCCCAACTACAAAGCTGGTTAGGTCCCTAAATTCCTTATTAAAGGTCATGATCCCCTTCCACACACTCACCCCATATGAAGCCCTCACCTTTTTTGATTCCCAACCAAATCTCACAGCTCCATGCTTCGGGAAAATGCCTTAGAAGTGATGACTTGATCTGAAGAGGTGTAATGATTCAGGACCAATCTTGTGCAGATTTGGATCCACTTTTTCAAAGCTGCTAGTCTGAGTTGTCCTATATGTGGGTCTGTGCTGGACTTGTTGCTCTTTTGCAGATTTAAGGCTTGAGATCTAAAGGCAAGCTACTTTGTGCTCAGGTGCTGGCAGCTATTCTTTGGACAATCTGGTCAGAAAGAAATAGCAGAGTTTTCAACTCTAAGGCCTTGTTCGTTTGGCTGTAAATTACTTTCCTGGGTAAATGTATTTACTCGGGTAAGTGTTACCTAGGTGGATAAGTACATTTATCCATGTTCTTTTGCCAGATGGGTAAATGAGCGAATTTCCTAAAGGATTCCTAGTTGTTTTTATTTTGGCAGGGACATTTTGGTCCTACACAGTTTGGCCAGTTTCCCCCTCCATGGGTACGTAATTTAGCTACCTCCTAGGTGGGTAAAACTTTACTAGGTAAGTTGCCAAGGACTTACCCAGGGGAGAAAGTTTTGTTTCCATGAGATCCACAATTCACTAGTAAAAGAATATGGGGAAGTTTCCATTGATCAACTTTCCCCCCAAACTTACCCCAAACGAATGGGGCCTAAGGAAAAACCTGTGGAGGAACTCATCAATATAGCTGTCGGAAGAATTGGGTCTTGGGCCTGAGTCTCTAAGGAATTCCCCCTGAATATCCCATTGTATTAAGCTGATCTTGTACAGATGTGATGTATTCTGCCTGCTTTAGGTGCTTTTTAGTTTGGAGCTCTGGCATGTGTTTTTTGTATCATTATATCTCTTCATCAATAAAGTTTTACCTTTTCTAAAAAAAGTGCAACAATACAAAGCACGTTAAGTGGACAGACTTTATTCATGAGATGGTGGTGTCTAATGAAGGTTTGTCTGCCATTGTGACTTTAGATAAATAACTAATTGATATTTTGATGAAGGTTGTATCTAAAACCCTGCTAGCTAATGTGCTAGAGAAGTTGGGTATGGGCAGCATCTATGGACCAGCTTGTGGGAGGGTATTGAGAGAGAGAGGCATCTGACCTAAGGGATTATTATAGCTTGAGATAGATAGTAGCAAAGGGCATATATGTAACTTCTGTGCTAGTCTTCATAAATGAATAAAACAAGAGAATAAGGTGCTCTACACTATCTCATGTGTTTCCCCTAAACTCTTGCTCTTTTATTTCTTCTCTCTAATCTGTCTCATCCAAATACCACCTTAATCCTGTCTGGTAATGATTAATCAACTATAGAGAACACATGCAAGTTTGGTTGTGCCTTTATGAGTTTATGGTCAAGTTTGCTGGAGATTTCAGTGGCAGTGTCAGGATGAGAAACTGTGAGGCCAGAAAGGTTCTGAGATTCATTTGCCTTTCCTAAAACTATCTTGCTCTTCTTCTCTAGATTGTATGAAATTATGAGTAACCCCAGATGTTCCTTTTCAGTGGCAAACCTAATTAGATTTACTACTGGAATGAATTCTCACATGTCATATAAAAGAAGTCTTCTTTTGTTAGTTCTTTCTTCCTTTAATAAGATAATTAACCTTTTATGTTGAACAGGTCCAACTTAACCTTTTGCCATTGTGGTTTGCTTCAGGTATCTCATCTCTCTTTCTGTTTTACATACCATGGACATGATATTTAGACCACGTCCTTTCTTTATCAAAGTCATCAACAGTATTGGTTACACAAAGTTCTTGCTTGCAGGGAAAAGAAGGAATCACTACTTTTCTAAACTTGCTGATGAGAGCACTAGTGACATCTTTAGTCTCATGAAAGATCCATCCATGAGCTCTTGCTGTGTTCTAAGAGTTAGTGGACGGAACTCAAGGATTCGTTTGACAGAATACACTGAGGTGTGCCTCTTTGTTGTTCTTTATTTATATGGTATTTTCCTGGATGGTTTGCATACTATATTTTAACCTGGCCATCCTTCTACTATATTCCTTCCGATTGCTTTTATCTTTTTATTTCATTATGTAAGTGGAAGACCAGCAACAAAAATTGTATATTCAGCCTTCTCTTTGTTGTTCTAAGAGTTGGTGGCATTGCTTTTATTGGTGTTTGTGCAGATGTCAAATTTGAAAATCAATCTTGAAAAAAGTAGTATTGTAGGGATTAAGTTGGATGATAATATCCTAGAGTCCTTAGCTAGTTCCTTAGGCCTTCCTTTGGGAGCAAACCCAAAGGAGAGTAGATTCTGTAGTCCAATTTTAGAGAGGGTTGCAAAAAGATTGGTGGTGGGGAAGAGGAATTATATTTCTTTGGGAGGAAGAATTACATTAATCAAGTTTGCACTTGCAAATTTTCTGCTGTATTATTATCTCTTCGTATTTAGGATACTGTAGGAGGTTAAGAAGTTAGAAAAAGTTATGTGGGACTTCTTGTGGGAAACAAGAGAGGGCAAAAAGGACCACTTGGTTAAGTGGGATATAGTTTGTAGTTGCAAGGAGGGAGGTTTAGGTATGGGTAATGTGGGTAAAAAGAATATAGCCTTACTAGGAAAATGACTCTGGAAGGAGAGAGGTTGTGGCACCAAGTGGTGGCAAGCATTTATGGAGTCATTGGGATCCTGGTGTACCTCCTGAGGCAATGTTGGCCTCACCATGGAAATCAATTCATGGCATTCTCAGCCTTTTTTTTAAACTTGGTTAGGTATGATGTTTGCTTTGGGAACCTTATTTTGTTTTGGATTTGCGGCTCAGGACCTCTTTATGGGTGGTAATTAGGACTTTGGGTTTAGAAGGGGATTAAGGGATGGTGAGCTTGAAGAGGTGGCGACTCTACTGCTTACTCTTGAGAAAGTTTGTTTGGATCCCTCTAAACCAGATAGAAGGATTTGGGCCCACCACCTCTCTTCTCCCTACAACTATTCACTATGTAGAGTTATGCTCTTAATAATGCAACTAGCTGCCAACTCAGTTCAGTTTCTGTGTGGGGTGACTTGTAGGAAATGAGCTGGATGCAGAGAAGTTAGAAGCTTGGGTGATCCTAGAATGGGGCAAAGAAAGGGTAATAGGAGTAAGAAGATTAAGTAGTGGCCTTCTCGTGTTTATGTTTCACAATAAAGAAGTTGATTGTGTTTTGGATACAGAGAAGTCAAAATCCAGGGAGATTGACTTATGGTTGGGGAGGTGGTTCCTGGTGTTAGGGGCGATCAGTGATAGAAAAAGAAAAACTGCAGTGTGGCTTGGCATGGTTGGTTCCTCTGCATGTGTGGGGCGTTCTTACCTTCCAAGAGATTGGGAAGTGTTGTGGGAAATTTCTTGCTTTTGATAATAGAAACAGGACTTGGGACAAGCTAGACATGGCAAGAATCTTGGTGGAGGTGGAAAAGGTCTCCAGTATTCCAAGTTCTTTGAGGCTTCAGTTTGTAGGAGAATGGTATGACCTTAGAGTACTTTTAGAAGGGGAGGATAGGACGGTTGCATTCTTGCAAGACTGAAGCCAAAAGTGTCCAAAGAAAGACACGTGGGGGGGGGGGGGATGGGGCGATGAGTGGGGAAGCCCAAAAGTCAAATGTTGTGCTATGCTTGAGAAAAGGGGAACATGCATTTGCCAGTTTGAAGGTGGTGAGTGGGGTGTGTAGGGATCACTCTAGTATTAGAAAGAGGGGACTTTAAAAGAGGAAACTGGGAGAACAGGTTGGGGGTTTTAAAAGGGAGGGGCAAAATAGGAAAAAAGGGGGAGGGGAGGTCGATGATCAAATTGGTTAGGCAGGAGACAAAGCTTGAAGGTTGATTTGGTTTGGGTCATCTCAAAGATTTAAGTGTAGAGCCAATATGAGTTAGAGGGTTATTTTTGTCCTTTTATTTCTTGGGAGCACCCTTATATTTGTGCTCTTCTTGTACACTAGATCCTTCTTTTATTCTTTTGTACATTACATGTATCTTAAGGACAGAATGGTCCTTTTACTACCTTAATAATAATATATTTTCCTGGGTATGGGTTGTCACTCGGACACAGCTGAACAGTACTTTAATAATAATATATTCTTGTCCTTTAATAATAATATATTCTCATGAACTGACTCTGACATGAAGTAGGAAAGAAGAAGACAGAAATCCGAAGGGTGAGAAGAAGATAGGGTGGTGGCGATCAGACGAAAGAGGTGGGGATGAGTGGAGACTGGAAACTTCCATGAGGATATTGTGAAAGTGAAGAAGTTTCTAGGTAAGAAGCTTGACATCAAGGAGCTAGGAATGCTCAAGTATTTCTTTCTAATTGAGGTAGCTAGGTAGGCTGGTATCTTTATATCTTAGTGGAAGTATGTCTTAATCTTCTACATGATACATGAAAACTTGGTTGAATGCCCTCAGACAGCAGAATTTGAGACTGGATGGTGTCAATGGTGACAAGGTTGAAGATAATTATCAAAAAAAAAAAAAAAATGGTGACAAGGTTGAAGATGCAGATAGATTTCAAAGACTAGTAGGGAAGCTTATCTATTTTTCACTTATTAGGCTATATATTGTGTATGATGTTAGGGTGGTGAATAAATTTATGCATTCCCCTAGTACATCACATCTTGTAGTGGTTAACCACATACGCTGTTACTTGAAGAGTACTCCAGGATAAGGATTCATATTCAGAAACAATGGAAAATGAAGGTTGAAGTCTAAACAAATATTGAAAAGTTGAGCCAGATATGGACTCATTTGCATTGACTTGAATGATCCAGTTGACTATGGGTACTTTTTATATTATAAAAGTAAAAGATTAATGTGCCTTTACATGGGTAACATTACATTTTAACTTTCTTCATACAGCTAAAACCACAGCTCTGAGGGAAACCCTGAATGAAAACCTTATTCCCTGGGCTTGAGGAATATTGGATGAGGATTAAAGAGTAACCTGAACATCAGTGTCTTGGAATTGGAGTTGGAGCTCTTGGAATCACTAAATATGTTGCTTGGAAAAGATCCCGCTCCTCCTTTTGCTACAGATATTAACTTATGTATCTTCTGAAAGAACTGTGTTTTCTAATTTTCAATTTTCAGCCAGACCATAAAGATCCGTTATAACAAAATTTAATGTGGAAAATTCCATATTGTTTTGTGGGTATACACTTGATAATCTGGTGACAGTTATCTTTACCCACAAAAGCATGATCCCTGTGCTCTAGAGTACATTTAATTGCTCTATCCAACATTGTAATCTGGTTATTTATAGAAAAGGTTTCCACCTCTGCTGCATTTTCTTCATGAATGTAATTTGTTTTACTGGTATGTGAACATAAAACTCACTGTTCTTCTTTTCCATGTATAGAAAGTAGACCTTTCAGGTTGTCCACAGATAACGTCAGCATTTTTGCTCTCAGCACTTCCCTGTTCAAATAACATGGACCTCACATTGACAGGGACACTTAATCGGTCTTCGGTCAAGCTTCAATGTTTTGATGGGGCTAGGCATCTAATCTCTCAGAGTTTGTTCCAACTCTTGGCATTTGAAGCAGTCTGTGAAGTAGACGTATCCAAGTGCCCAAATATACATTTTGAAGCTGCAATTGAGTTATTCTGCAAGTCATTTCCATCTTTGAAAATATTGAAAGCTTCTTATTGCTCGCACTTCAAGTTGGAAACTCTGTTTCACCTGGTACGAGAATGCCCATTGGTCAATGAAGTTGACTTGACCACTGATGTTAGTCCCATAATTCCAACACAAGTGTCAATAGTATCTGCTACGGTTGAGGAGTATCAAGAATTAGGTGGTGTGTCTTACAAGATTTTAAAAGATAAACCATTACTATCAAGTATCACAAAACTTGTTTTGAAAGGTCGAAGTGATATTGATGGTAAGTCCTTTTGCCTGCTTGATACTTTTCCAAAGCAACAATTTTCTTTGAACATAGAATTTGGTTGCATTATTCGGTCAGCAAATTGTTACCAGCATGGTGTAGGCACTTTGAATCATGCCACTAGGCTAGTGGCTCCTATAATTCTGTCCTTCCTAGGAGATCTTACCCTCAATTTATCCCAATTGAGTGGTTTACATCTATAGTGCATCTATGAATATGCTGTGAATAGGCTGTGCTTTTTTGTATATACCTCACTGGAAACTCAGAACATTCACGTGAACATCCTCCTTTGATTATTTCCTTCATGTTTCAGAAACTTTAATTATTTCCTTCATATTTTGGGATTTCATTATCTTACAAAATGCTTCCTTTGATGTTATTGCCAGATATGGACCTCCAAAAGCTCTCCTTGTTGTCTTCTTCCTTATCCTACTTGAATATTAAAGGGTGCACTTCGGTAACTGACATGGGTATATCCAAATTAATTTGCAAAAGCATGAAACTTCATTCACTTGTTGTTTCTGATACATATTTTGGGAGGAATTCTACTCTAGTTCTTTGTTCCGATTCTCCTTTGGATGGTTTTCCTGCGATGCCTTGTGAACTGAATTTTTCTACTTCATTGGCCTTTAGACTTCAGAAACTGCATATTGGTGGATGCAAGAGTGAGTTAATTTTTCCCTTTATTAGTCCTCTGTGTACATATGCAGATACTTGCATATATTAGTATATTACATATCATATATGAAAATTTTCCATCTAAAAAGACAACACCTCTAATATTTTGAGTCTTCGATATATCTTACAAAATCCTTAGATGACCATAGCTTTTTAAAATAAAGCTCATTAGAATTAAATATTCAATATTCGTAATTATTCATATATTTTTCTCTATCATATTCAACTATTAATGTTTTTCTACTAAAGATATGGGAAACAAAGAAAGAAAATGAGATAGGTTTAACATGTGATAAGACAACCCCATTTCAAACACTATGTAATGAATAATTTTCTTTGCAGATGTTGATGTAAGATCTCTGTTACAACTTATGTCCTGCACATACTCATTGAAAAGTCTGTGCTTGAGGGAGACTGTTGTTGATGATCATGCTCTTAATAACTTCTCAGGCTCTTCCTTGGAGAAGCTTGATATTTCTGAGACTATGGTATGTTATAATGCTGAAGCTTGAAGTATTCATATTTTGTCTTCATAATAAATTGTTTAGTTGTAATTGGACAAACTACATTTGATTAGGGAAGTGATATCCTTGGCTTCCAGAGTGAACATCTAGTTCAGATGGATCCAAGATCTGCTAACTTATTGGAAAATATTATCATGGATAGGGGAGGGGGTGTTTCTAGATCCATCTTGTAATGGGTTATATATTCTGGACTAGAGCTGCTTTTGATATCTTGTGTCATGCATCTTTTTATTAGCAAAATAACTGTATTAAATAGCAAATGAAAATAAAAAAAAAACATATACAAGATGTAACTGTAGGGACAAGGGAGAAATAGGAACCCTCAGGCCCCATAAGGATGCTTAAACTTCTCAGATATGCAAGAAAACCAGACTTGGACACACCCTAAACTTCTCAGATAGAGAAGAAATGAAAAAGCATAGGACAAAATTCTCAAAGTCCTCTTTACATAGCTACATACCCAAAGAATCTACTACTAACAACATTTGATCAGTCAACAAATAGAAACCTCTCAAGTTTTATGGCCCATGCAATACCCTAACACCTCTGGTTCATCCAAGACCTATGTTAACCATGACCATGAGAATAAATCATTGGGCGGAGGACTTTCACCCTCTCCCTTCTCTCAGATGCATTATCTTTACCTCTCACTCTCCCTCACCCCTGTTCTTTTGATTAACAGCTAATTCTTCTAAGTTCTCCCCAGTTGACATAGCTCTGGAGGTTTCACCAATGTTGTCTTCCCTACTTGCATTAACATCACTACCATCCTCTCTCCCTCTTCTATTAATTTAAACTTTTTTTTTTGATTGGCAACTGGTATTAAATTTTATTAATTCATAAAAAGAATGGTTTATGTACAAAGATGCCTTGCATCTCTATGCATTGGCGAGTCAAAACCTGCTTAACCCACTTTAATAATTGTCTTAAAAGTGAGACCAAGAAAGTTGTTCCCTATTCACTCCTAGTTTGGCAAGTGCATCAGCCAAAGAGTTTTCTGACCCTTCGGCCCACTGACAGGTTGCTTCAAGTTCTCTGGTTAAGTGCTTAATCTCTCTAAGAATCTGCCTGAACTACCATGTTGCTCGACTGCTGTTTTCCAAATTCCAACCCTTGCAGCACTACCGTTGAATTGCCTTCTATGATAATCTTTCTCAACCTTAAAGAGTATCTGGACCTCAATACCTATAACACCGCCAAGAATTCTGCCTTTGCAGAGTTTCCCATTCCAGATGGTTCCGAGTACAATGCTATTATAGTATCACACTCATCTCTGAATATTCCACCTATTCCAGAGAGGCCAGGGTTCCCTATGTTACATCCGTCAAAATTCAGTTTGATGCAGCCATGCCTAGGTGGAGCTCATTGCATTTAGATCAATCTTTTAGTGGATGAAGAATTGGCTATTTGACTCCTCCACTTTCAGATGGCCAAAAAGAAGAGGTAGAATGCTATGGAGATGCACTTGGGCAGCAGTGCTTTGGGTGATATGAGAGGAGAGAAATCTGAGAATTTTTGAAGAAAAGATAAGATGCAAGGAAGTGCTGATAGAAGGGATCATGATAAAGGTGACCATGGGTAAAATCTGTGGGATTGTTCTCAGATTTTACTGTGGATGATATCTTCAGAAATTGGAGGACAGTAGCTTCCTCTTCATCAACTAAAAAGGTCTTAAGAGAGTGGGATCTCCCTGATTCTGGCTTCTTCAAATTAAACTTTGATGAAAGTAGTTTTGGCAACCCAGGAATGTCTGGAATTGGAGGGGTGTTAAGAAATGACAAAGGAACTGTGGTGGGGTTGTTCTCAGGTCCTATTGGAAGGGGAGACTCCACTACAGCTGAACTAAAGGCAGTGGTTTTTGGGATACAAAAGGCTATGGAGTTGGGAGTGAGAAAACTGGTTGTGGAAGGCGATTCCAAAATGATCCTAAGCTGATTAAAGCAAAATGAAAAGACTCCCTGGCTCTATAGAAATGAAACTAAGAAGTTTAAATGCCTTTCCAAGGACATGCAGTTGTTAATACAGTGGACTCCAAGAGAGGCAAATGGCTTTGCAGATCAGCTAGCAAAACAGGGGATTAACAGGGAACATTGTTTCTGGGCTCAGTTGTAAGGCTGGATAGTTAAAAGTCAATAGTTGGCAAACTCTAAATTCGAGTGGGGTAGCTGAGGCTACTCATTTCTGTAATCTTTCTGAATTTATTAATGAAATCTCTTTTACCGATAAAAAAAAAGAATTGGCCACCTGCTGCCTTCTTCTAAATATATCACCCATTACTGAATTGAGCAAACACATCTATTATGATTCGGCCTGCCCTTGAGTTCTGTTAATCTGATAACAGCCAAGAAGAGAGAAGAAGAAAGAAGAAAGAAAGAGAGAGAGAATGGAGGAGAAAAGGAGAGAAGAAAAGTCTGGTTCGAATGAGAGAAAACATTACCTCTCCCATTCGGCCAGATATGTTTTATATTACTAACATAATGGAAAAGACACATGTGCCCCTACTTAAGTGAGTATATATTACACATCAGAAACCTCAACATAAGTATAAAGACAGAAATACCCCTACATACTCGACACTAACACACCCCTTCAAGCTGGTGAGTATATATCATATAATCCTAGCTTGTTACATATGTAGTCCACTCATCCCCGACTCAATGCTTTAGTAAATAAGTCTGCCCACTGGTTCCCTGTGTTAACATATGCAATGTCTATCACTCCACTCAGCACCTTCTCTCTCACAAAGTGATAGTCAACCTCTATGTGCTTGGTTCTTTCATGAAACACTGGATTAGAAGAAATATGAACTGCAGCCTGATTGTCACAATAGAGCTTCATTGGARTRTTRAYRTTGTAYCCTAYYYCCTGTAGAAGGTTCCTTAGCCACACTAATTCACAAGTGGTATGTGCCATAGTTCTATATTCTGCCTCTGCACTGCTTCTCGCCACAAGGTGAGTGAGTGAAACATAATTAGAAATAGGATGAGGGGTATAAGTGCGTTTATCTTTCCGCAAGGCAATGGGGAGATCAAGATCAGATACTGGATTTGGGGCTGGTGTGGGGACAATTGCCGGATCTATCGACGTTGATGGAGTTGGAGGAGGAGCAGCTGGTACATATGGGCGATGTGTATACACTTGACGGATAGGTGGCCGTTCGATAGGTAGTGGCACTGGAGGCAAGGACTTGGTCACAGCTGGAACAAGAGGAATAGAATCCGTAACTGGAAGAGGAAGAGGAGGAGGTGATGAGGAGAAAGAAACATCACTGGACCCCAAGAAAAACGGAGTAGACTCAAAGAAGGTAACATCAGCACACACAAAGGAACATCGAGAACTAGGATGATAACACTTATACCCTTTCTCGGTCCGTGAATAGCCAAGGAAGATGCACTTAATGGATCGTGCATCTAACTTGTCCTTCCTGAGGCCCAGATTATGGACAAAGCAAACACACCCAAAAACCTGAGGAGAAAGAGGAAACAGAGGCAAGGTGGGAAACAAGGTAGTGAATGGGGAATGATCATCAAGGATAGAYGTGGGCATCCGATTAATCAAGAAGCAAGAAGTAAGCACCGCATCACTCCAAAAGGGTTTGGGAACATTCATGTGATGCATGAGGGATCGAGCTGTTTCCAAAAGATGACGATTCTTTCTCTCAGCCACCCCATTTTGTTGTGGGGTGTAGGTACATGAGGTCTGATGTATAATGCCATCTTGGTCCAAGTATTCTTGAAATGATGAAGAGAAATATTCACGACCATTATCGGAACAAAAAATTTTAATGTGAACATCAAATTGGTTGCGAATCTCAGCACAAAATTTTTAGAAGATGGTAAACATTTCACTCATTTCTTTCATTAAATAGAGCCACGCCATCCTTGAATAATCATCAACAAAAATGACAAAATATCTATACCCATTGTATGACATCACTTTATAAGGACCCCAAACATCCGAATGAACCAAAGAAAAATGACTCGACACACGGTTATCAACCCTAGGACTAAAGGGAACATGATGATGTTTCCCCAACTGACACGACTCACAATCTAAAACAAAAAGTTGACTCAATGAAGGGACCAAAGACTTTAAAACTTTTAGCGAAGGATGACCAAATTGACAATGCCATTGGAGAGGATGATTGGAGAGTTGTTAATGTTCTTCCACCATCGTCAAGATAATACAATTCACCAGTTTCATGCCCACCACCAATCTTCATCCTTGCCTTGAGATCCTGAAAAACACACGAAGAAGGGTAAAAAGTAATAGAGCAATTGAGTGACTTTGTCAACTTACTAACAGACAAGGTTAAATGGAAATTTAGGGACATACAAAACCGAGGATAAAGATAAGGGGGTCATGTTAACATTGCCAACACCACAAATGGAGGATGTGGAACCATTAGTAAGGGTAACAGATTGTGATGTTGAGCAATGAGAGAGGGAAGAAAACACACCTGGAGTTCCAGTCATGTGATCGGAGGCTCCAGAGTCAATAATACAGGGATTGGGTGTGGATGCCAAACAAGCCATACCCGAGTGTGCGAGAGTAGCCGTGTTCTGCTGAGATGTGGACTAGACAAACCTCTCATACTCATCACGGGGGACACTCGTCATCTCCTTCCTGGGAACATTTGCGGATGTAGGAAGTATCTGATCAGCTGAATGACTCTCCTGTCTGAAATTGCTGTCACTAGTCATGGCATGATTGGCCCAGGTTGAGGGTGGACCATGCAAGTCATAGCAATAATTAATGGTATGTCCATCCATACCACAATGAGTACACCTCCTCGGACCCGAACCACGTCCTTTGGCACGGGCTCCCCCTGAATCTCTACCTCCAGTACGACCACCACCATGGTTATATGTAGGTCCACCACCACCACTCCGGCCATATACCGGACCACTGCTACCACTATGGCCAGATTGAGCTCCCCGAGCTCCACCTCTAACACCACGGCCCCTTGATACTGCAAAGGCTGATCTATCGGAAACATTAGAGTTCTCAATAGATCCAATGGAAATCCTTCGAGGTCGAGCAAACACCTCTTCTAAGGAAGGGAGAGCTGATCCTCCTAGTATTTGAGCCCGCACTGGTTCATACTCAGATTTTAGCCCCACTAAAAATCGAGTCACATCAAACTGTTCTCTTTGCTATTGCTGAATTTTGACATTAGAAGTGAGGGGGTGATAAACATTCAACTCATTACGAATGTTTCTCATACTAGCATAGTACTCTTCAAGACTTTGATTGCCCTGTTGTAGATTAAAGTATTCCTGATACARCTGATATACTCTGGTTGTATTGTCTTGACCGGAATACAACTTCTTAGCATGGTCCYACACATCTTTGGCAGTGTCAAGAAACATGAGATTTATACTAATCTTGGGTTCCATACTATTCCATAACCACGTGATAATTTGTGCATCCTTTTGTTCCTAGTCATCATACTCATGAGAATCAGTGGAGGGTTTTTCCTCCCTTATGTGTTTCACCTTCTTCTTTGCCTTCAGAAAAACTTCTACAGATTTAGCCCAAGGTATATAATTCTCTCCATTCAGTTTAATGGAGGTCATTTGAACATTCAGGTAGTCAGTAGGTATCATCACATTAGATTTGCTATTACTACTATCTCCCATTGCTGAATTCTGTTATTGCTGAATTCTGTTATTGCTGAATTCGGCACACTACACACGAGACCACATCACACACTGATCACACTGGTTTCAGCACTTGTTATTGCTGAAAGTTGCACTCTTTACACCACAAATCCTAGTCCACGACTACCTGAAATCTCACCACACTATATGAGGACCACTCCCCCTTCGAATCACACTGAAAACAGCATAAACCCTAGCAGACTACAGTCTAAAATCCCACCATACAATCTGAAACATGCTTCTTATTTGATTCATAACAAAAAAAAAAAAATGCATAGAAATCTCTTGCCTCATCACCCGAAATTCAAACCACACAAGACACCCACTGCACCACACAAATCAGCCTTCTTCTCTTCATCGATTAGGGGAGGGCTTCTTAGAAACCACAGCAATCGACCACGAACAGCACTATTGGAGGCATAGAGACCTCCAAGGGAAGAGGGCGACCACTCCTTTTCAGCCCTTTCCCTTATCTCCAACCGATGACAAAGAAACCAAGAGAAAACCCTAGACTGGGTACGCAGAAAACAGAAATCTGGGCAGATCCGAGTTGCTTAGTTGAGCTCTGATACCATATTATGATTCGGCCTGCCCTGAGTTCTGTTAGTCTGATAACAGCCAAGAAGAGAGAAGAAGAAAGAAGAAGGAAAGAGAGGGAAAGGAGGTGAAAAGGAGAGAAGAAAAGTCTAGTTCGAATGAGAGAAAAAATTACCTCTCCCATTCGGCCAGATATGTTTTATATTACTAACATAATGGAAAAGACACATGTGCCCCTACTTAAGTGAGGGACACTAGTTCTAACATAATTACACATCAGCATCCTCAACATAAGTATAAAGACAGAAATACCCCTACATACTCGACACTAACAACATCCATCGTTTTTATCTAATGCACCACCTTTACAGTGATGGCTTCAATATTTTCCTCTTTTATCCTTACTTTCTCATTGAAAATTTTTGCATTCCTTTCCTCCCAAGTTGTCCAAAGAACTGCTGCCCTCATACATCATCACATTATTTTCCCCCTACTAAGCTAAGGGAAGAGGGCTGAAGAAAACAAATTGGCCACATCATTAGGGGTGCTCTCCACTTGCATTGCAAGTAAAGATTGAGAAGAGCCCTTCTCAATTGCTTAAAATAAAACAGCAGGAGATTAGTAAATGGTAAGTTGATTCTCCACTTACATTTCAAAGGAAACACTTGGAGACAAGTAACAATGCGGTCTCCTCTTTTGGTAGGGTTTCATAAGTGTTAATTTTCTCAAGAAAACACCTCTAAACAAAATACCCTAATTTTAGGTGCATTGGTTTGCCCCAAATTTCTTTTATTGGAAAGGGCTAAGAAAGAGAAGGGGATACAAAAAGAACATCGAAGAAAGAAGCACAACAGAAGAACCCCAATGGATTAAAATTCCAAATATGTCTGTCAGAAATAGATAAGTCTAACCAAACTCCTCCCAATAGATTTAACAAGTCAATGATCCCCACTACCAAGGTAAGTTGTTCTACTTGATTACTTGTTCCCGTTCTTTCTTATCTTCTGGCATTTGAAACTATTCTTTGGCTCTAGCATGTCTCTTTAGAAAAAAAGATCCTCAGTTTTTTGGCGTATTGCCATTCATTTTGCCACGTCTGCCAAAGTTTCTACCATGATATCTACCTTTCCCACCCTAGTCCTCATTTTTGCTTGAGTCTCCATGCCAATATTAAGATCCTGATCTGTCATGGTAACTGCAAACTTTGGAGCTTGGGCCTAAGCTTGTGCTCAGCCAAATAATAAGGGGCAATAAACAATATTAAAGAAACATTCTTATTTGTTATTTTTTTTGGGATCTCACCCGAGGAGAATGGGAGGATCCCACTTGGACTGTAATACTGTAACAATCAAAATTGAAATCAATCAGACAAGCAAAACACTCTTCATTGTCATCACTCTTTGCACATCTCGATTGATCAAAAACTTGTTGAACCCAAATCCTTGTAAGGACTGGGAAATATCTCCTCCTCTCCGAACCTCCTATTAACTCCTCTCTTTTTTCTTAATATCTTGTGAGATCCAAACTAACAATCTTGATGAAGATTAAACTTGCTCCAACCAACAGAAGGATCCTATCAATGTAACCAAAGCAACTGAGTGACAAAACAGAGCACGAGCCTATTTTAATGGAACACTTCCTTCTACAACTAATCTTAAATCAAACCACTGTCCAGCAAAGTTCAGTGCTAGATATGGTGGAACCAAATGTATTTCCTCCACCTCCACCAGCCTTTTCATTGCAACTAAGTTTTTCCAACCTGTGGACTAAAATTTGCTAAGCATTTTGGGTTCCTTAAGTTGCAAGTGGAAGGAGTCTCTCAGGCGGTCATTTCTTGGACAAGATGTAGCACCCAAATCCCTTGGACCTATAGGCATACAATTCAGGAGATTGAAAGCTTTGAAAGGGAGTTGATTGTTACCTTTAAATGGGTGAGAAGAACAGAAAATGGGATGGTGGATACTTTAGCTGAACAAGGGGCTGTGAGGCATCAAATGTTTTGGGCAAAACTGTAAAGTTGTGATTGGGGGGAAGAACCTTCCCACCTTGTTGTGATCTTCTTAATTGGGTCTGATAAAATATTTTCTTATTGATAAAAAAACTAATTTTTTTCCAACCTCTAGTACTATCGTTTATTTTCCTAAATCTACCACACATCTCCTACTGCACAAAACATTTCCACACCCCACAGATGGAGAGGAATCCCAAACACATTAATCCAGAATAAACTTCTGGCTCCTTTTCTGACATTTCTTATGGCTCCTACAGGTGGATTCTATTTGCCCAGTCTTAGCTTAGGTGAGCTAACTTGTTTGATTCCCACCAAAATACCTCATCTACCTCCTCTTTCCAACTTAAGCGGAAAAGAAAAAATCCAGCATTAAGTTTTCTAACTTGCACTTTGTCTTTCATTTGTCATTCCAAGCACACCCACTTGGAAACCTCTCCCTTGTTCGGATCCACATTAACAAAATGACCAACTAAACACGTCTCCCAGCAGATTTAATCATAAACCGAAAGTTTCCCACGTTGCTTACGAATACCTCCTTCATTTACACATGTTGCTTATTAACAAAACAAGGATGTTACTGAAGCATTTGCAAGAAAACAATATGAAGGAGTTGACAAAATATGGAAGCCTCGGGAAACTGGATGTATTATTTTTTGTCTCTTTTTTGACCCTTAGTAAAATTTTTGTTAGCTATAAAAGGTAAAAGGGTCATTATACATGTTAACCTTAGCTTTTGCTTCTGGTATTCATGTTAGATCTCAAATTCTATGAACTTATCATAGTTTCCAAAATTTAAGAATGCTTTAAGAAAAACATTTCTGTTTTGTAAATGACATCGTAGGTTTGTTGATTGTATTAGTCAGCCATAGGCTTATCAAAGATAATCTACTTCCTGCAACATTCAGAATGATGTTTTAGTGGAGTTTTTACCATCTTGAAACTAGAATGGTCAAATACATCAGTGGATCAACCAGATAGATATGATGTGAATAAGGCTTGCCCTTGAATAATCCCTATACTTATGCAAATGCAGGTCTCTGGAGCTTCGTTGACTCAACTTGTCAGAAGAAATCCTGGTTTGAAACTTTTTAAAGTAAGGAGTTGCAGGAAATTGTCTCTCTGGGAAGGTAGACTTGAAGTAGTTGAAGCTCTGCCTTACCATGGTTTCTCTGGTGAAGAACTGTCCTTTGAGTTAAGCAGGAGATGTACTCTGGAAGGAGCAGAATTTGGATGGGGACTTTCTCCTTTCTCTTTGAAAAATTTGGGACCGGCAATAAGGTCCCTAAGGACCATAACAGTAGGTCTTGGTGGAACTTTGGGCGAATATGGTCTGGAACTATTACTGACAGTTTGTCCTTTGCTAGAGGCAGTGGTTCTTCATTTTCAGGTATTACCTGTAAAACCTAAGAGAGGTTAGACCCTTTGGAGGGCTTACCAATGGTATATTGGTATATCTGCATCATAGCAGTTGAGGGTGGTTATTGCCATTTGATTCTTCTTCTTTGGGTGTCTATTTTGCATGAAAGAATGACTAAAGAGACAATCATTAATTATCTTGTCAATATGTTTTTGGTCCCTTTTCTATAACTTAAGTTAGATAGATGATTACAACTGCCAAATTGGGTCAACTTGTTTTGCAGAGAGATCTCAGCGGGACTGGTAAAATGGTGGTTTCTAATACGTGCACATATATTGCATTTATTGGTCCCACTGCTGAGTCATCATTATTGTTACTGCTACTATTTTATTTCCTTGCATTTAGAAAATCTCATTTTCATAATGCACTTTTATCTCAAACTCAATGCTGGTTGTGCCTTACCAGGTAATATCTGATAATATTGTGAAAAGGATTGTGGAGTCCTTGAAACATATAAAAGTTTTGGGTCTGTGCTATTGTCTTGGTGGCTTGTCTTCATTAAGCTTCCAGCTAAGCATGCCAAACTTAAGGAAATTGAGGTTGGAAAGGGTGACTCCTTGGATGACAAATGATGATCTGGTTACTCTGACAAGAAGTTGTACTAGTTTGATTGAACTTTCACTGTCAGGATGCACCCATCTCAATTCGGGTACCAATGATATGTACTTAAATATTTTGTTCAACCCTGAGATATCTTTTTCATGTACTTCAAAGAGAGTGCATTATGCCATTATATGTGTGTGTTCTTTTCTAATGACTTAACTTTTTGCAGATTCTCAACAGATAATTTCATATGGATGGCCAGGCTTGATTTCTATCCATTTAGAGGTTTGTTATTATCAGCCTTCTCTGAATTTCATTTGATTGCGTGACAAGTTTTGACCAGAATGCTGAAGATATATTTTGGCACTCCTCTTGAGAGCTTGAAAAATATGGGTAAAATATGTAATAGGCGACATCTTAAAATAATGGTAGTTAGAAATCATAAATATGGATCATCATTATCATCTAAGCCTTATTCCAACTCTATGGGTCAGCTAAGTCATGAATATGGATGCTTCTACAAAATGAAAGAATGAAAATGAAAGTTTATCATTTCAGTAATAAGAGAATGGTAAAGCAGAACAGTTTGTGCTAAGTTTTTGTGGGTTTCTTTTATTTCTCCACCCTTTTCATTTGATACTTCTTTTTTTGGCTATGTGGGTGATTCAATTTAGGCATCACTTGGGAATATATTTCTTTCCTGGACCAGTGTTGGGCAATACAGAGACTGAAGTCCTTGTTCTGCTACTAGGGTTTATGTTACCGTAATCCTCACATTTAAATCAGTAGAAATTGAACAGGATTTCTACTGAAGGTAGACAACAGTGGTTTGTGGAGCTACAGCAATGAAAGGAAAAAATTCAAACGGCTGAGTCGGGATATTGAGGTGAAGTACAGCTGGGTGAAGAGAAGTGCTAACTCAATTGCAGATGGGTTAGCCAAGCAAGGGGTGTTTAGGGAATCTTTGTTTCGGGCTAATTTTTAGTTTCTTTCCTTGTTTTCTGTTGATGGGGAGTTAAGACATTTTACCTCCCCTTTTGTAATTAAAGTTTCACAAGACTTCTTCATTAATAAAGTTTATTGTTATTGATCAAAAAAAATAAAAAAACGAAATTGAACAGGATTCTGGCACTGTGATTGGATGGGCAAATCTGTCATATAGGGAGGGGTCCTTGAAGGTTTTTGTTTACTCAAGGAGGTCCACACTTTGCTTCTAGGATTAGCATCTTAGTTTCCAGGATCCTTAGCTATGTTGCCTCTTTAGTTGATTATCTGGCCAAGAGGAGGATCTTAGCTATGACATCACTCATTTTTTTTTTCATTTTTTTCATTGAATGTTTAGCTATAGGTAAAATATTTACGTGTAGAATTTACCTAGAGGTCATAATTGTGTTATTTATTAGTAGATTTACCCATTCCTTTCTCAAAAAAAAAATATTGTAGTGGGGAATCACTGACCACATGTTATGGGCATCACTCACCATAAACACCATATATAGAGAAGTTCACTGGCGAATTTCAGTAGGGAAAGTACTGATACATACTTTTATCAGCTTGGGTGGAATTTGAATGTCTACTGAAATCTGGGTCTTTATGATTTAATCCCAGATGCCCACACCATGTCATCTTCCCCTCAAAAAATATAAAAAAATATTACACGGTGGTCCATTTTGAAAGTCCTTTAGTCCAGTTTGGATGAGTGTTAGGAGAAAAGACTTTTCTGCTCCCCCTTTTCTCTCTCGTTTGCTATGCAAATGAATACCTTGCCCTCATGTCTCTCTCCTCTCTCTCTTTCTCTCTCTCTCTCTCTCTCTCTCTCTCTCTCTCTCTCCCACATGCATTCTAACAAGTTCCCTGTGCTGAATTTATTGAGATCAATGGATGTCTTATTGATTCACTGAAAAATTACAGTAGGAGCAGTTTAGGGTGCTCAACCTCTCAACTGAATTACAGAGCAATGAAACAGTGGAAGAGAGGACTAGAGAAGAAGGGAAGAGGGAGAGAGGGAAGAGACAAGGAAATTGGAAGGAAACTCAATGCTTGCTAATCACTATCTGGAATTGGCTGCTTATAGCCTTTCTTACAATGAAGTCACGTTGAAGCATGGTTTGGTTACTCCCCATGTGGGTGATGTGCCCTTCTTGTGTAAATATATTTGATGGGAGGCTTCTCTGGCTGGACCTGTGTTGCTGTGCTATGAACCTGGGCTGGCCGGCTAGTTGTGCCTGGGTTCTGGTGGAGGGTGTCTTCCTCTTCCATGCAAGCATCCCTGCAAAGCTGCTTCTCATTGAAGTTTGAGAATCTCTAGTTTATAATCTGATTGATTCTAATCTTCTACATGCTTTATCCAGAGGAAATCGGGAAAATTCATTCTCAGCTTTGAGCATCTTAAAGAACTGCAGGTTTTCCATTGGTAGGTCTGAACTGTTGACGTGTAAACTTCAGAACCTGCAAAACTTGAACATTAAACGTTCACTCTTGTTTCCAGAATTGCTCAAATTCAAATAGAATGAGCAGAGCTGGCATTCCAACTTGTTACCAAAGTAGAAACCTTCTGAATCAAAAATCTACAAAGTAAGGAAGAGTTTCTTGTGGAAGAAAAGAAAGAGAAGAGGTGTTGAGAAAGAAAGAGAGCAAATCAGATCTGGCTGCCCTCTCCAATGACTAATATGGGCGGCTAACACATAAAACTGCATAAAATACTTATAAACATCACTCAAAAGGGTCCCAACAAGAGTGATGTGGTCCCCACTTATTATTTAAACAAATAATAAACAAAAACAACTAAAAATCTGCACAAAATCCTCAACACTCCCCCTCAAGTTGGGAGTAAATGTCACACATTCCCAACTTGTGTAGGTTATGTTCAAACTTGTTCTTTGCAACTCCTTTGGTGAATACATCAGCTAAATGTAACTCAGAGGAGACATGATGCAAGTAGACTTCTCCAGTTGTCACCCTTTCTCTTATGAAGTGTCTATCAACCTCAATGTGCTTTGTCTTGTCATGCTAAATTGGATTGTGGGCAATATTGATTGCAGCTTGGTTGTCAAAATATAACATCATGGGCTTCTCTGCATCTATCCCAATCTCACTCAACAAGGATATAATCCAAAGTAATTATGAAACACCATGGGCCATAGATCTATATTTGGCCTCTGCACTTAACCTAGCCACCATTGGCTGCTTTTTACTCACAACACTAATAACATAGGAAAGGTTTGGGTGTATCATACATAAATATAGTAGCCGACCTACCATCCTCTGATATCTCCCAACATCCTTAACCAACTCACCTTCCAAAGCATTAACCTTGTGGTAACTCTTCTCCCAAAAGTTGGGAAAAGAGGAGGAGGGAGTTGAAGATGGAGAAAGGGAGTTTCGAATCAGTGGGAAAGGAAACTTCTATTGAATCAAAACTGTTCAAGTTTGAGGAAGTGAAGTCAAGGAACCCGGTTTCGATGAAGATCAGAGAAGAGAAAAGAGCCTCTGTGTACCTACCGAGGGATGTGGTCGCCTGGCTAAAAGGTTTTTTGGATGTAGCCATAGTCTCAAGGAAATCTCAGAACTGGAAGAATTTGATGAAGCTAAACGGAAAGGTATTTGAAGCAGAACAATGTTTCAATAGGAAAGGATGGTTCATCACAGTCATAGAGTGGTTCGGTTTGGGCAGAAAACAAATGATTTGTATCCCCCTTGGAAACAAGAGTAAAGGTTGGACCATGTTCGTGAAAGAATTTCAGGAGTTCTTGTGGAGAAACGAAGAGCAATCAAAGAAAACCCAAGCCAACCACGATGAGGCAAGCCACTCAAAGATAGGTGATGGGAAGGAAACATATGGGAATGATAAGGATTGGCGTAAAAAGTTTGTAGTTTATGCAGATGTAAATCAGTCCTCAAATATTAGGTGTAAATTTGAAGATTAGAGGGAAAAAAGGAAGAAGAGAAGTAAGAGCAGCAGTACAAGAGAAGAAGATGGCGAAAAGAGAAGGAAGAAGAAGAAGATTCGAATTATCTTCCCTTTCTCCTCTAATCCTTTTTATTAAGAATTAATGTTAGAGTAATGACAAGTATGCCCTTAAGTGGGCGGCCAGCTAGGCAGTAACATAGAGAGATTAAAAGAAAAGAAATAACAGGCCCATTACCCAGCAAGAAAAGAAAAGATATTACAAGAGAAGATACTAGGACCCATTCGGCCTAGTCTCTTTACACTCCCCCTCAAGCTGAGCATAGATGTCAATCATGCCCAGCTTATGCTTAGTTTGCTTATATAGTGTGCCATTTTCCCTCTTGGAACTCCCTTGGTCAAGAYATCAGCCAATTGTTCGTCTGRYGTGATGAATGGCAAACAAACTTCTCCTGAGGAAACTCTTTCCCTTATAAAATGTCTATCAACCTCAATGTGCTTAGTTCTGTCATGTTGAACAGGATTATGTGCAAT